GTCTTGCAGGAAGTTGATGGGGCTGCGAAGCGAATCAAACAAATCAACGATCGACGAACTGTGGCCCTCGGCACCATCAGCTTCGAACTAGACGCTCTAATCAGTCTCGTCAATGAAGAAGGCCTGATCTCCAGCCATACCTTGTCCGCTGCGATAGCCTGTGGGGAAACCAGAGTAAATCAACGACTACTTGAAATTAATTTGATAACAAATCTCACCGCCTCGACCCATTGCGTCGTCTTATTATCCGTCTCAATAAGCCACTGGCGCACATACGGCTCAAAGAAGCCTCCAATATCAAAGTTTGCCGGTTGTCTGCAGCCCACCCATATCAGCCACTCCACCCCAACGCGAACACCGCATCCCTGGGTACTCACTCTGGACAAAACGCCTCATACATCCCAAGCAGCGTCTTCGTCCGGCGGTAGAGCGAGAAGATGTCCTGGATCGGGACGTCGGGCGTCGGGCCGTTCATCGAGGACTCGAAGAGCCGCTTGCGCGACGCGTCGAGGTCGTGCAGGAACATCGGCACGAGCACCTCCACGACGAGCGCGACGAGGTCGATCTCCCTGCAGCACCACCAAACAGACCGCATCAGCACCATCCTCATCAGCAGCAGACAGGCCGCCGCAGGATGTAAGGGAGCACGCACTCGAGGAGGGGCTCGGGGAAGCGCTTGTCGAGCGTCTGCGCGGACTTCTCGATCTCGTCCGTCATGAGCAGCAGCGGCAGCGCGCGGTTCACGCCGGGCGCGGCCTGCAGCTCCGCGATGCGCGCGTCGTAGAACTCGTGCGCGACGGCGCGCACGCGCGCCTTGATGTCCTGCACGCGCGCGGCGATGTCCACGTCGAAGCGCTGCAGCAGCCCGCTCTCGCGCACCTGGTCGAGCACCTCGAGGTACGGGAAGACGTCCGCCTGCTTCAGGTCCGGGATCGCGTCCATCAGGTGGTACACGGACGAGAGCAGCGAGCTGTACAGGCTGCCGTAGATCCCGATGAGGTGCTCGGACTGGCGAGAGGTCAGTATGGATATGGGATGGCGTGGCACTAGGGGGCGGAGCGACGCACGTCGTGGATCGACCACTTGTCGAAGCTGATCTCGTTCATGACCTTCGCGATCGTGCCGAGCGCCTCGGGGATGCAGTCCATCGGGACCTCGTTGCGCTCGTAGAGCGACTTGATGAGCTCCAGGAAGCACGCGGCGCGGTACGGCTGGGGGATGCGCCAGCGCAGCGCGCACTCGTTCAGGAGCTCGATGTGCGGCGGGGACAGGATGCCGAGCGAGACCTGGTCGTCGTCGTCGACGTTCGGGTCGTGCATCGCCTTCAGATCCGCGTCGAGGCAGTACTCGAGCAGCCGGCGGTAGTACTTCTTCGGGTTCGGCGGGATGTACGTGAAGTTGAAGCCGGCCTGCACCTCGTCGTCCCCATCGAGCTCCTCGGGCGTCATGTTCATGATGTCCACCTCGGACAGGTTCTGCGACATCGCCAGGACCGAGCGGCGGCTGCTGATGGACCCGGTTCGTGACGCACCGTAGGGCGAGCTCGAGTACACGGACCCTGGCCGTGTAGTTGTGCGCGAGAGGCTGTCGGTGGGGTTGGATTTTGCGAGCTCGGGCTTGAACTGGACGAGGATGACGGTCAGCTGCGATAGGTGGGACGTCTCGAGCGTTTTCCAGTAATTCCACGCCGCGTCGCTGTCAAAGTCCTCGCGGCGGCCTGGAAATGGCTCTCCCGCGTTGATGTTCTTGAGGCATGTCTGTTCGGAAGCTAAGAAAGCGCCCTAGTAAATTATCAAAAGCTCCGACATACCTTCAAATCTAGCAATGCTGCCTAGAGAGCAGGTGAGTATACGTTTGAAATATCAAAGCGCCTGACTTACTCGTTCAGTACATGTGGGCTTCAATTTCTCTACTTCTCGTTGGAGGAGGTCTGATCGAATCTGGAACAGATTTGACACAGTCATGACCAAGGGCATATCTTTTACGTTCGTACTCGGGCCTGCTACTGAGGAAGACACCGAGTCTCGATGTGTAGACGCGGAGTCGTAGCCCGAGTCGCTTGGTGTTTGCGAGACAGGCGCCAGCTTGGCTGCATACATGTCGAGGCGGGACGTCAGCTCGGGAGAGACGTGGCTAACGGTGCGGAGGGACTCCTGCAGCAGCTTCACGAACTGGAAGATGTGGTTGTTCAGCTCGAACTTCCAGCCGTCGCCGGCGAGCGAAGGGTCCTTCTTCAGGATATTTGTGGCGTGCGTCGCAAACATCAGGATAAGCTCCTCGATTTTGCGGTTCTCCTTCATTTGTCGCTTGAACGAGTCGACCTTGAATTGGCCGTAGAAGACCGCCATCGTCCTTCGAATAAGTTGGTCCGAATAGCTTTCCTCCGCCTGTTAGCAGTGCTTTACGGGGATAAGTGGCCGGCAACCTAAACGCACCCAGCATCCTTGCCCATAGCAATGTTCTCCAGCCTCTGCTCCAGCACCTTAAGCAGCTTCTCTGGGAACTTGACGCTCTTGTTTCCATCACGGATGTCCTTGAACAGGTCTCCAATCGAGAAGATGGAGTTGGATATCGCGCCCGACAGGCGAGACGAATGCTCTTTCTCGCGGACTGCGTCGCCGTTCGGGCTCGAGGCCGATTCCGGGGCCTTTGGCTGGACGAGATAGCCCAGGTATCTGCAGCATATGCAGATGTGAGTAGATGCGTGAGGGCGGGGCGAAGGTCTCGTCTCACGCTACACGGAGTACATAGCTAGAGAACCACATCAGCCTAAGATTCAATCGTTCATAACATAGGCTACGCACTTGAATAGATCTTCGTCCGTCACGCGGTGCTTTGAGACGCGCCGCTCGTGGCCATAGGTAGATATGCTGGCGTTGCTGCGCCTCGACATGTCACGGACGACGCTACACACAGAAGACAAGCCTACCGACTGGCAGTCTCACCAGTTAAACAGAGTTTCGAGGAGTAGGCCAGAGGAGAGCTGCCGGTCAGGAGAAGATGAAAGCAAGACGGAAGAGCAGCGCTTGGGAGAGGACGCTCGGAGCTGACGCCGTAGCTGTACTGTATATCGCTGCAATTATCTCATGACGCGAGGTCGCATCCCTCTTCGGCATTCTCTTCCCACGCTCCCTCCTCGTCTCGTCAGCCCTGTGCTCCGTCTATCTTCCGAGGCCTACAATCTATCTTTGTCTTATTCTGACACCAATAGCGGCCATTGGACGCGTTTCTGAAAGCTACGACAGCGAAGCACAATCTAAATCCACATAGAACGTATTTTTGATGGGGAAAGTACACATTTAATGTCTAAACGTCCCCTTGAACTAACCGTCTCCCATCGACACGTCCGTCCTCGCGACCAGCCCTCCGCTCATCCAGTCACTGATGGTAATCTTCTCCATTGGTGTGAGGTGCTGGCGCTGGCGCAGCCATGTTGGTATTGCGAAGGCATGGGAGTCCCAAATCTACTCCCTTCAGAGTCAGTGATTTCAGAGAAGGAAACAGGCCTAGGTGTCCTCCGGTGAGCTCATTGATAAGAATCTCTCAGAGAGAGCCAGAATCAATGAACACGGGGGATACGTTTGCGCATTTCTTGTACAGCTCGATCCAGTCAACGACGCTCTGCATCACGGTGAGGGTGGTGTAACTGACGATAGAGTGTGACTGGAGACAGCTAGAAGGAAAGGCGTTGGCGGCCTTTATGAGTTGTGTGCACTCCTTGCCCCCTTCAACTCTGCAGAGACATAGTATGGCCGGAATGTACACTCCGGAGGTTCAGGGGACGGGGCAACGCGGTGTTCGTGGTCCTATGCAGACAATGCAAACTCAGAGAAGGGTAGTGCACGGATAGAGGGCACCATGGTGACGGCCTTGGTGGATAGCCACGGGAAGATGAGCTCAACATCATACCTATTCACATTATGCAGTCCCCAGAGGACCTCAAGCGCGCGAGCATCCGCGAGAGCACCTGGATCCCATCCAAGAATCCCCTGCTTGCTATCGTAGGGAGGAACATCGTGGGCGTATGAAACGGACCCAAGATGGATTGGGCACTTCCGCGAGCGATTCAAGGATTCCTCTGTCCATTTGGGCCCGCTTTCGAGGAGGAAATGGGACCAGAGGCGACGGTAGGCAAGCGCGGCCGATCGCCCTGAGCGTCATCAAACGAAGGTAACTTTGAGCCATCCCAAATAAGATCTCCCACCCTGGGCAGACGGGTCAAATTCCTGGAAGAGACCAAATATCCAGGTCAGGATCTCCACGGGAAGTCGTTCGACGTGCACGACTGCGTTGCGGCGCGTCCGGACGGAGCACATCACTCCCACAAGGGCGTCCATTTCAAGAGCCAGCGCGTTGTGCCTCTGTCACGTAGTCGGTCCAGCTTTGACCCCGAGGCTTGACACTAATTGGGTGCGCGAACCGCCAATTCTCGGCGGATTGCCCTGCAAGTAGGTTGCAGCGCCGTCCAAGTCGGTTCAATGTTCTCTGAATCAGTGCGCGTGGTTAAGTATACGATTCGAGCAAACGGCGCCCACCTCATCGCATCGACCTATATGGTCAGGATGATACCCTGGTCGCTTCCCGTTCAGTGCACTCCTGCACTGCAGCGAGTGAAAGTTGCACTGAATGTTGCGTTCACTGGAGAATTCCAAGAGAATTCCACGATCATTTGTTGATAAAAAAAACCAAGTACGCGGAGCTTTGGATACAATTGAAAGTCAGCAACGGCAATGTCCGGTTGGACAAGAATTCGACTCGGACCAGGACTGCTCTCCGTCCGCCATTATGTATGGTGCAAGAGAAAAATCATACTGCAGCCGTGTGAGCATATACTGGGTTCAAGTCCAGGAAAAGCAAATTTGAACGTATGACAAAGGGGATTCTGTGTGCTGCGGGTAACAAATCTCCTCGACATTCGTTCGTTCGGTCTGATGGGCTTGGACGCACGTGTCTGTGATCCTCGAGAGCCACCACAAAAATCATTAAAGTTGAAGCTTGTGTTCCCATTAGCCGACTTGAACGACTGACCTCGTCATCGCAGGCGATTTCAGTTCCTACTAGTGACGCGCTCTACCACTGAGCTAAACGGGATGATGACGAAGATTTCAGCGTGCTAACCTTTCGACTCAATTGAGCTCCCGCTCGGTGACATCCGGTTGCGGCGCTCGATATCCCAAATATCGTAGCCACTCTCCTCGGATACAGAACGCAAGGATCTACCCTCTAGAATGGATGGTAACGACACTTATCATAGTCAAACTATCTGCACCGGCGGCCAGAATATGAAATCTGACCGGAAGCCCGTTTCCAAACATAACGGTATGTGTCCATCAGTCGCCCCACCCTAATGTGAGTCTTCCCCCTTCATCTGGCGATGCATCCACCTGTTCCTTTGTTCCATCGTGGGGATGGATTCATGGAAGTAGTGCCCGTTGAGCCTCCTCAGCGTCCCCCTCTACTACGGCCAATACAAGGACTATCTCATGAAGGTTCGGCGCAGTCCCCTCCTCGACACGACGCACAAGTTCCCGTACTGCGCGACCCAACCCAACCCGCTGCCAGTGAGAGTGCTTCACCAGCATCTCAAACGCCGGCACCGGTCAACTCTGCAGCAACGACGGCCCTTCCATCGTCCCGACAGCCAGAGGTGACATCTTCTCATTCTAACGTTCTTGAAACTCTCTCACTCATCCGTGTGGCCTATTCTTATTCAGACCGTAAGTGACGCAATGTATCCATTCTGCTGAGACTCACAAATTTGCAGACCGCCTTACCGACAACATCTTCAGAATCTAAACCCTTCTCACTGTCGCCCTCAAATTTCACCAGCTCTCCTGCCTCCACAGTGTCCCCCTTCGCATCTAGCACTCAGCCTTCCATCTCTCAAACATCCTCAGCACCAGCCTCCGAAGCCTCATCTACCGCCGCCATCCGCGGCTCTACACCCCCACACAACATCAGCTTCTACCTCGGCGTCGCGCTCGCCGCCATTGCCGGCCTCTCCTTCCTGGTCGCCCTCTTCGCCTGGTGGCTGCGCATCCGGCGCCCACGCAAGCGGCACCGGCAGCCGCTATACTTCCCTTTTCCCGAGCACCCGCCCAAGAAACCGCCGTCCGTGATGACAGAGGCCGCGCCCGACACGCGCGTGCCCCAGCTGCCCAGCACGCGCCGCCTGCTCCGCGCGCCGCGCGACACGCGCCCGCCGCTCCGCCGCCTGCCCACCGCGCTGCAGCTCTCCGACGCGAGCGTCCCCGCGCTCACGCATGACATCGGCACGCCGCGCATCGCGAACCTTGTCTCTGGGGACATCCTCTTCTCCGACTCGTCGGCGTCGGCGTCGGCGTCGGCATCGGCATCGAGGCCTGCGTCTGCGGCGCCGTCGCTGCTACTGGCAGGCGACAATCAGGGCGAGCGCACGCCACGGTGTATCCCGCCTGTGAGTGAAGGGCTCCCGGTCGCATGGACACCCTCGGCGGGCGTTGGGGCTGGGACCGGAAGCAGCAGCAGCGGCGAGAATACGAGCTCGGACTCGGACTCGGCGCTGCCGCTCGTCCGCCCGATGACACCCAAGACGCAGCGAGGGACATGGGCGGGCGCTCTCCGGACCAACCTCGCGAGCGCTTTCAATATCTTCTCTGGACACAGTGCGCCCGCGCAAGCTGGCATTGCCAGCACGTCGGCACCCCAGGACGACGCGCCCACGGAGCCGTCGCCTTCGCGCGCGTCGACCCCGGAGATGCTCGCGGATGCGAAAAACGACTCGATGCCGGGGAAACTGATATCGCCGTTCTCGGACGCGGCGGCGTCCTCCTCGTCTTCGGACAGCGGCAGCTCGCGGTACTCGGTCGCCTCGGACACACTCGCACCGCTTCCCCCGACGATGCACCGCGACGACTCGGTGTCTTCGCAAACACACTCCTCCGACGGCGACCAGGCACATCGTCGGGACGAAGACCAGACGACACGGCGCTCGCGGCCGTCCCTCGCGCACTTGCACTCGTCGTTCGGCACCTCGGCGACATCGGTCGGGTCGGACATGACGCGTGCGTCTTCGAGGCATGGGCGGCTGACGGAGCGGGAGGAGGCGGCGCGCCGTGCGCTGAGAGAGCGGAGGAAACGCGTGAGCAGAGCTAGGATCGAGGCGTTGAGGGAGAAGAATGAGCGGTTGGTCCAGGCGCGAGTTGAGGCTGCGAAGGCGTAAATTTCCGTTGAATGGTGAATCAGTGATACAGAGTCAACGATAAAGGACATAGGGATTGGAGAAAAAATACATATAACAGATACAGTCTTCGCCGTGTCCGATAGGTTCTCAGGATGATACACGAAGTCGTTCATACCGGGGTTGCCCATTCCTTCTCGGGTCTGAGACCCCAGTCCTCGAGCCAGTGTTCGAAGAAGCTTGCTATTTTCATGTGCCCATCCACGGTCGGATGGAGGTTGCTGTAGAGGAAGGACGGCGGTGAGAGGAAATTCGGGGTGAGAAAACCAGTACATGCGTACTCGGCTAACACATCCTCGAGGGTCACCCATCCCGTCGTGTTCACGAGGAAGACATTACTGTCTCCCGCAGCGTGACTGGACGGAAATATCCAACGGAAGGATCATTGAGGAGAGGTCGTGAATCACTAACCGGCTATTAACTATCTTTGTGTAGCTCCCTTCGTAGTACTGGCTGATGCTCCCGTCCGGCTGAGGCCATCCCCACTAAATGTAGCCGTAAGCTTACCACCATCCTGAGGACAAAGAGGTCCATTCGCATACCGGGGTGAAGACAAAGATCGGCTGATGCATGTAAATGGTTCGCAGGTTTTTTATGAATTGTAAGTATGTCTAAGAAAATCAATAAATATTTCACTAGTCGCCTAGAGGACAGATTATGAAGGACTTACGTCCACGAATGCGTCCGCGGTGACATTCTGCGAAGCGTCGTTTGCACCGATGTGGATGACGACGTGCGTTGCGGCTGGACGGTCGCGGGAGAAATCCCAAGGAGTGGTGTAGTTATGATCAGTGGTGTAATAGTATCCCGTGTCCTCTGTCTGAGACAGGAAAACTATACATATCAGTTTATGAAGAACAAAAGAGCCGGCCGCCGTACCCTGAAGAATTGGTACGAGACTCCGTGGACGTTGCCGTACGACAAGATGTCCTATAGTCCTGTGAATTGATTATAAATGATATGTGGGGAAACATTACACTCAATGCGGCTCCAGGTTGAGCTGTCACGACATGCTCTGCCTTGAAGTGCTCTCCTGTTAAAAATGGCCAAGCCTGATCTACGCCCCCCGGAAGGTATTGACCCTGTACGTCCGCGACAGGTGTTAAGCTGGATTCGCGGTAATAAAAGGAGAAAAACTCACCGCGGAAAGTGAGTCGCCGATGAACTGGAAGGCAAGCTTAGAGGGTTCGTAGGGACGTAGTTCGGCACCCTTCGGTTCAAACGTTACTAAAGAGGACATCAAGGCTACAGCAAGATACGCACCGCATTGAGAGTGATGCTTTCCAGGTTGACGCGGTTGTCTTGCCATTGCTGGGCGTTGATCCTTACGACGTGATGCGCAGGCTTGTTTTCGTCTGTATCACTTGGTACAGGGGTGAGGGGGACAACATTATTTCCTGCAGACACGTTGACTATGTTGAATGGCCCGTAGTCAACGGACACGCCAATGGAGACATTGGGCGAGGTTGTGTGCGGTCCAAGGGTCAATTCCAGAGAGGACAAGCCGTCGACGTTCAGTTTGAACCCGGAACCCGCCCTAGTGATCATTACTCTAAGGCACTGTGGACATAGAATGGTTGACATACCACCATGTGCCAGGCGATCTGTCCCATCGGCCATGGAAGTATATGAGGGGGTCATCGCTGCGAACATTGACCGGGCTCGAGGACGAAACTGTGGGAGACGCGTTTGCAAGCGAGCTATCGCCCATCAGCGTCGCAACAACGGCAAAGGGCGCAAGGAACAGCATGGCAGCTGTCGGCGCTGGTCTGTAAAGGATCTTGTCGAGATCCTTTCACCATGTGCGCCGGTGGGCGAGTTATTCTGGTGCGTCATAGCGTGGTGTATACGCGCGGTGGGCGCATGATCTGCCTCGTGCTCGTGGCGTAGCGTAAGTGGCTCCTCCTCGCGGCCCTCCGAAGATGTCCCGATACGGGCGTGTTATGTCCGTGCGGGGCGATAGATGTCGTAGAAAATCAAATTGGATATGAGGTCTACGGGCGTTAGAGATCGTTTGTGTGTCTTGTGACCGCCTCGAGAGTCGTAAATTTCGGCGAAATTGGACGAAATTTTGATACCTGTACATTCGAGTCAACGAAAGGTCTTCAAAGCCACATGGAAACACGGAGGAATCTTCGAGGATGCAGATCAGAGCTCGCGCCAATGAGTATACCAGTCAATCTTCGACGTATCTGAAATATCTGGATTCTGCGGATGCCAGGCCTTTGGCGAAGAAGCGTGGCGACACATGGCTCGCGCCTGCTGAGTAGAGTCAAATTTCGCACCTCCAATGGCCCCATTCTGATGAGTTGTTCTGTATTTCCTGTAGGTCAATATCGTCGATGCTGATGTTCGCACATAAGACATCCGAATGGTGGTCACAGTCAAACAACGAACACGCGACGCGTTGTATTTTGAGACAGCCACGTGGCCGTGCGCGCCTTCTTGAAGGTTGTTCAAAGCGTCTCTTCAGATCTTGAAGCTCGCAAACTCTCTCACTGCATCAGAACTGTGATCATCTGCCTCCGGTTCTCGTCCTACTCTTTCTACGCAACGCTAAATAAAACTTCACGAAACGTCTGGTGATCTCGTCTGTCTGTCCGGGCCTCGTCGAACCACCTCTTGCACCATCCGTCGACACCTCGTGACGCGGGTCCTCCACGGACAGCTTTATCTGGACCTGCAATTGTCAGCACGAAGCGGCCGGGTGACTGTCGGTCGGGCCTGTCGATTGGCATAAAGGGTTTACCGGCACCAATGGTGGTCAGCGCTGATACGACTCTTGCAGCCATGACATATCTCGATACCCTTGATGGCGGGCCGGCTGCATCTCATGGGCAGCGGCTTCTTTTGTGAGCCTGGAGGCAGCGTC